GTGTGCTCTGTTTATGTGTGCGATTTATATGTGTTGGTTCCGATCTTGCTCTGGGTGTGCAATTACTCTTGAGTCTGCAAACTCCATGCGATAGCATAATATGACAATGAAGAGGGAGGTCGGCAATACTGCAGAGCTGAGCAGTGCTGGAGAGGGGTCAGGTGTCACGTTGAGCAGGATTACAGAGATGGTGCCATGAGCTGTGAGAGTGTAAAGTTGAATATGACTGTGTGCAAAAACCATCCTGTACTGATGACCGAAAAAGAGGAGGTGGGGGCAAGCATGGTGGTGGTGTTGGGGGGATTATGATATAGATGGAGATGGAGCGTTCTGAGTGAAAATGGAAACTGAATGCATGAGAGAACATGATAGGAAACAGAAAGTGATCTGACCTAATTGTATTATACAGGGTGTGTGCATATTTGTTCTTTTTTCAGAAAATGATCAGCAGCTCATCGATATTTGTAAAGATATGTGATGAAAACGACTGTTACATATACATATAATAATGATCATGAATACTTTTCTGTTGGATTCCATAAATAGTGCAGCCTATATGGAAGAACAGCACATACCATGCTTTTATGTATGTTTCATTGTCTTTAGAAAGAGTCAATTCTTCATGATTTGTATATATATCTATTTATATGTGCCCTGAGCTGTTGTTTCTTCCAACCAATTTGAAATGCAAAAAAGTGAAAACCCACCAGAAAATCCAAGCAGAACTTTTAAAGAGCCAGTTTCAATACAGCTGGTGTGTAGGCTGGTGCAGGTGTACATTTCCATTTTATGATTTGCTGTGGCTTTGTGAAGCCTTTGTTTTTCTTTTTTATATGTATATCATTAGTGTTACTTGTTTGCTCACAATGGAAAGACAGAGGGAGATCACTGAGAGATTATATTGTGGCTTTCAGTGCATTAACAATACAAGATCATAAAGTATTAACCAGGAAGAGAAAAGGAAATCTATTATGCACAAGAATTTCCTTATCTATCTCAGAACTGATAATAATGGAAGAAGAGAACAGAATGTCTGTAGAACTTGATGGCAATGCACCAGTAAGTCAAACATCTCTCTGTGCCGGTAAATCTTCATACAGTGTTTTTCAGTTTAAAAAATCAATTGTCCGCTTTAGTAAATGTGTTTCTGTAAAATGCCACCCACAGTATTGTAAACGGATAACTCCCTCCCCCAGACATACACTTGTTGAGCTCAGACAAAGGACCTCTAGGGAGTTTGAAGGGGTTGGTTGGGAAGAAAATACCTGTTATAGATGGATAGCTGGTCCTTCCGTCACTCCTGGGCTGCCTACTAGTTCCAGGACAATGACTTATCTTATAAAGAATGGATTCAGCTGTGCCAGACCTTTTTCCCTTTTAAGCAGACGTAAATCCAATTCTAATATTTTGTATAGGCTTTATCATGGTACTTTGATTTCAAAATTGAATTTAATATTTCTATATTTGCAGCTTTTGGTAGAATAATAGCTGGTTTTAGTTTCCCTTTCCTTTCCATTCCTAAATTTTCCCACCAGCTACCTCTTTCCCCACCCTACTTTACCCCCTTAAAACTTCTGTCCCCCCACCCCCCATTCTACAGAGTCAGATAGGATTAGTACCCTGGAGTTTCCCTATTTTATTTTCTGCAAGGAAGAGCATACAGAACAGCTTTCTCTCCAGCAAGCAGCATAGTAGAGACATCGCAGAATCCCACTCCAATTCCCATGAGGCAGCAGTGACTGTCCTACATCAGAGCCTACAGGCACACTCACATGCCAGGAAAGTGTGATGCTATTGTGTTATATTTCAGTAGGAATATTCTAAGAAAAGGCCATTTTTAGTGTTTTGTTTATGCACACTTTGAACCATGAGCTGAATATCCTTTATGGAAAAATGGGGAACCCCTTTAAGCCAGTGGTGTAAAAACTCAGTTTATTGCAGGCCCCATCTGCATTATGGTTGCCCTCAAAGGTCAGGTTGTATCTGTAAGACAAGAAATCCAGAGCATCCCCCCCCCCCTTACATCAGTTGTCAAGAGGGCCCCCCCACCATTAGAAGTCAAGAGATCAAGAGTCCCCCACCCTCCCTTATATTACAGTACACCCCCTTACCTTGTACTGCTGCTGAGAAGAAGCTAGGGGTGCAGCTGGGAAGCAGAATGTGCAGAGTTTGGAGGAGGACCAAAGGAGGGTTGGAGTCTGCTGAATGCTGAGACAAGGGGTGGGGGAGACGAGTGGCTGCACAGAGATGCAGGATCTGTAGGAGTAGTAGTTCTGTATTCCTCTTTGCTGCCGACTGCTGAGATGGGGGACAGAGAGGAGCCTTTGTATGGCTGCACAGAGAAGCTCAATATTGTCTGGCGGAGGAGTTCTGTCATCCTCCATGCTGCCGACTGCTGAGACATGGTGGGGACGAAGACAAGGGGGGTGTTGCAGGTGTAGAAGAGGTGTACGGGGCAAATGAAATGGCTTGCTGGGTTATGTTAAGCCTGCTGGCCTTGATTTTGACAAATGTGCTTTAAGGCTTCCTGTTAAATTGCTCAGAGCTACGCTGACAGGATATACATGCTTATAAGACTACTATCAGTTTTGTAGTCCCTGAGAAATGCATTTCAATTGTGGTCATCATCATCCAATAATTTGTAAAAATAGAAGGCATGGTACAAGTACACATATTATTAATTAGAAATCCATGTGGTGCAGCCTCCTGAAAGTGCATGTCCATATGTTCTGATATTGTATAGGGAGACAATAACTTCAGATCCCCTTTCTCCTCCCATCTCCAGCTTCTTATTATTGTTCCATCACAGTGATGGACATCTTAACTGACCAATAGTTCCATAAGAATCTTTTAGGCTTATGCAATTTTCTTTCCTTCTACCACAGGAGGAAGAGAGAAAATCGCTCCTGCAGTGCTATTGTGTTCTGCCTTCCCTGCTGGCAGAACACAATTGTTGCTAGTAGCTAAAGCCTTCAGCAGTAATCCCAAGTAAAAAATCCAACACGTTGGTTGTACCCAAGTCAATCCATGGATCAACTTGGGTACAACCAGGTTGTCCATAAATGGATCGAATCTCGGCTAGTTCCTGCTGAATCGGCCAAGATTCGATCCATCTATGCCCGGCTTTAGGTGCTCCCCTGGAGCTCTGCTATGAACATACAGGAAATGGTTTTATTATATGGCTGGAGGTCCATAATGTATACAGTCCACTTTTAAGATGCAATAATCCTTTAACCTAAAAAGTGAATCTGATGTGTGAAGCGACATCATAGTTTAACCTCCCTGGAGGTATTCCCAAGTGTAGCTCGGGGTAAAGTTTCAGCACCACAAGCGGTAACCCCGAGCTACACTCGGGAATACCTTGCAGCGCTGCTCCGGGATCTCTTCTTCACTTACCTTGTCCTTCGCTCCTGCGATGTCCCCCCTGCAGCGTCCCCGGCCATGTCCTCCGGCCCATGCCGGCATCTGTCTTCCAGATTCCGTTCCTTGAGACGTCAGGACATATGGGGACGGAACTGGCGGGAAATTTAAAAATGTCAAAAAGTGACATTCACTAAATACACTAAAATCACATAGTAAAACATTACTGTATCAAACCATTTCACATACATTTTGTCCCGAGTGCTTGGTCCTGTGCCCTGCCTGCATTTTTACTGTTCTTTCTGCCTGGAAACTGAGAAAAGTCCATGGCGTCCAAAAAGCGTCCCTTTAGGTCAAAAGAGGTTTTAGACCAGCAAGAGAACAGCGATAGTAAATCAGAACCACTTGCAGAATTGAGTGATAATGATTCGTGGGGAAATTCGTCATCAGACACTGAAAACGATTTTGTGACTTTGCTCAATGATGTGCGAACTTGGCACTCTATTTCAAATTTCAGTGTTTTTGGTTTGATTATATTATTGAATAAAATGTATTATTATTATATTATTATTTTTTATGATTATTTATTAAATTATAATTTATGATTTTGTGTTTCAAATTTTAACATACCCGGGATGTTTACTAGACTCTTGTTCGGACAGATTTCAGTGAGTTATTCCTAAAAATTACAAGCCTACAATAAAAAACTACATATTTGCATGCAAAAAAATGTACCACTTTGAGCACAGAAATACTGACATAATCAGACCTCTAGGGAGGCTACAGCCCAACTCCTGTATATTAATAATTCACTCCTACTTCTCCCACCCCCCCCTAACTAACCGCTGCTATGAAAAAAGAGAAAATCTAATCAAATGCCTATTTTACATACCAGAAGCCATGTCATGTGACATCTCTGACCCAATCCTTCTGTCTTTTACTGGAGTTCACATCACTGCAAGATGTAGGCACCTCCTATTGATAGAGGCAACACTTCCAGTGGATGGGTCCTTTCTCCTAGACTCCAAAGGCAGGAGAATTCTCCAGGGGTCGAGGGGACCAATGTCCAAGAACATAACTGTCTGGTCCCCAGGGCAGGACATGAGCTTTGCTCGTAGAGGAAATTGTGAAGTTGATCCATTACACTGCAGGATGGCTCAGGAAGAGGTGTTTGGAATCAAGACTGAGGAGTGAAGTAGTTGATGCACTATGCACTATTTAAAATTAATTTTGCCTGGAGTTGTTCTTTAACCGCCTCCAGCCTGCCATATAGTAATATGAACGGACGGAAGGTGGTTCTCTCGTTCTGGGAGGACGTCATATAACGTCCTCCCATTCTAACCGCGCATGCGCGGCTCCGGGAGTGACGATTGGTGGTGCGCTGTGTCCCTCGGACACAGCGGATCACCGATCAACAGAAATAGCTGAAGATGTTGGCTCAGTCATGTGATCAGCTGTGTCTAATCACAGCTGATCACATGTAAACAGGGAAATGCCGGTTATCGGCATTTCTCTCCCCACAAGCTGTCACGCTGACAGCTCGAGAGGAGAGGAGGGCCGGTAATTGGCATTCCTTGGAGGGGACATGTACACAGATCATCAGAGCACTGATGATCAGTGTGCCCTGATGATCTGTGTAGCCCCAGCAGTGCCACCTGTCAGTGTCCATCAGTTCCAGCTCTCAGTGCTCATCCATTCCACCTGCCAGTGCCACATTTCAGTGCCCATCAGTGCCACATCAATGCCACATATCAGTGCCCATCTGAGCTGCCTTTCAGTGCCAGTCAGTGCCACCTATCAGTGCTGCCTATCAGTGCCGCCTATCAGTGCCATATATGAGTGCTGCCTTTCAGTGCCCATCAGTGATGCCTGTCAATGCATCCATCAGTGCCACCTATCAGTGTCCATCAGTGCAGCCTATCAGTGCCCATCAGTGCAGCCTCATTAGCGCACATCAATGAAGGAGAAAAAACACTTATTTACAAAATTTTATAACAAACACTAAGAAAAAACTTTTTTTAAAAAAAAATTTTTCAGTGGTTTTTGGTTTATTTAAGAAAGAATAATAAACCCAGAGGTGATTAAATACCACCAAAAGAAAGCTCTATCTGTCACAAAGAAATTATAAAAATGTCATATGGGTACAGTGTTGCATGACCGCGCAATTGTCATTCAAAGTGCAACAGTGCTGAAAGCTGAAAATTGGCCTGGGCAGGAAGGGGGTAGAAGTGCCCAGTAGGCTAGTGGTTAAAAGAAAAAAAAGAAGAAGAAAGCAATCCCACCTAAAATTGATAATTTTATTCATAGTTTTACCTTGGTGGTCTGTGGTAGCCCCTGACTTCATATCTGTCTTAGATACACCAGCAGGGAGATGTCTCTGCCATAATTCTAAACTCTGTTCTTCTCCATCTGGGAGTTTTGTGTGTTTTTGCCAACTGGTACATGTCCCGGGACCTCCTCTTGAATTTCCTGTAATATAAAATAAGTAAAATAGTGTGTGAGAATCTTTCACAGGCAACAGAAAATCTCAGCAATGGAGTCCCAAGAGATATAAAAAACTGTGAGCTGGGTTCACCTTCCAGCATCTACAAACACTAAAATATCAATCTTGGGTGGACTGACCCAGTTGAATTACAGCATATGATATGCCTGATTGGTCACTGGAGAAGCTGACAATTGCTGTCGTAGTCGGCACTATTACAGTGATGGCTGCAATCTTACAGTTCCTACTCTGCCCCACTGCACAATGACACAGAGGTTCACTTGCTCGACATTGCTACTATTCATAGAATGCCTTGTATTCTTTTTCATAAATACAAACCTTTCTCTGATTGGATGAGGTGGAAATCAGGATGTCATCCCTTCTCTTCACCTCATCTAATCAGAGAAAACCTTGTGTTCATTGAAAGAAATACAAGGTGTACTACGAATTCCGGCAGTGCGAGCAGCCCTCTGTGTTCTGTGTGCAGAGAAGAATCTGCAAAGAACCCTAGTAGTATCTCGCCAATCAGCTATATCTGTGAATCGGTGTATTCCGACAGCATTCTGTCGCTGACAGAATACATTGTCATGGCTTGGAGGATTCCTCCATCCACCTTGTTTTTGGATGGTGGAATCTGTTGAATGATAAAAAATAAGTGCATGGCCAGCTTGAAGCCCAACTGTGGGCAAACAAAAAAAGTTTTCCCATGCAGTGGGGTTGTGCCGACACTGCAAGGGTTAATTGCTTGTTTTTGTCTATGGGGGAGGAGAAAGGGTATATACTTACCTGATCCTCCTATTCTCCCCGCACAAAACCAGGTCTAGCGGTCTTGAGCAGTGGACTGTTCCTAACGTAATCATCCCATAGACCTGTTCTGGGTGTGAGGATGTCAGAAACAGTCCATTGCTGGATTGTGGGGGAGTGCTGTTTGCTGCTGAATCGGAGCATGGAGTGAGTATGAGCTTTCTCTTCACCCCTGAACAAAATTAGCTGTTGACCCTTGTAGTGCAAGCACAGCCACATTGCGTGGGAAAACGTTTTGGCTTTAAATCTACTAGTCTGTCTAACACAGGGGCAGGCAACCTGCGGCTCTCCAGCTGTTGCAGGACTACAAGTTCCATCATGCCTCTGCAAGTCATAGCTGTAACTCAGTTTTGTAATGTTGCAATGCCTCATGGGAAATGTAGTTCCACAACAGCTAGAGAGCTGCAGGTTGCCTACCCCTGGTCTAACACAACCCTCTCTAGACTGTGCCACTGCCATGGGGTGTCTCTGTTGCTCCCCCATAGATAGAGGAGCCATCCTAAGACAGGAATTGTGTTACTGGTCTGATCACTAGGTGAAAAAAAGGGGCCTGATCACCAGGTGAAAAAAAACTAAAAACAGAAAACTAATGCAGATACCACATCCAGGGACTGGTAAGCTGCAATACGTAACTGCTGTGTATGGTGCTCTGCTGTATGTCACTGTACAGAAATTCAGTGTAATGGAGGACAAATGACAGTAAGAATAATGCAGAATTCATAGCTACACAGGTATAGAATTCTCAGCTCCTAAGTACTGGACCATAGCTGTGTACATCCTTCAAGAAGCTATTTCTGAATTGATTCTCCTCTGGTAATTCACAGCAGTCCATTTCCTGGAAGGAAATCAACAGTCATGTTTTGTTTCTTTATAGGAAAATGTGAATACAAAGTCCATTCCACCTTTCTGTGGAACAATCCAAAATGACATTATGCAAATAACTATATCTTTGAGCACAATGTTACATCAACTGTATTGCCCAGCTAAAATATAATAACTTCTAGTTGACCTGCCCAATGATTCAGTTACTGAGATCATTTTCAGCAGCAATTTCCTTCATAAATAAACTGTATTATATTGTTGACCTATCAGGATATGTTCTATATTCCGGAAATGCAACCGGTAGAATAGTCACCCATTCATTTCTAATGTCACTTAATGCACTGAAATTCGAGGAGACTAGGATTAAAAAAAAAATGAAATTTACTAAAATAAGCAGGACTGCACCATTTTTTATACACCAATAAAATATTAAAGCCTATTATTATACATGAATTATATAGTGCCAATAGTTTGCACAGCACTTTAACCACTTGCCTACAGGGCACTTATACCCCCTTCCTGTCCAGGTCAATTTTCAGCTTTCAGTACTGTCACACTTTGACAATTGCACGGTCATGCAACACCGTACCCATATGAAATTTGTATCATTTTTTTTGAGACCAATAGAGCTTTCTTTTGGTGGTAATTAATCACCTCTGAGTTTTTTATTTTTTGCTAAACAAACCAAAAACAACTGAAAATTTTGAAATAAAAAAGTTTTTTTCTTAGTTTTTGTTTTAAAATTTTGTAAGTAAGTGATTTTTCTCCTTCACTGATGTGTGCTAATGAGGCTGCAGTGATGGGCACTGATGAGGAGGCACTGGTAGGTGGCACTAATGGGCATTGACAGGCATCACTGATGGGCACTGAAAGGCAGCACTCATATATGGCACTGATAGGTGGCACTGACAGGCGGCACTGACTGGCACTGTTAAATGGCACTGATAGGCAGTACTGACAAGCACTGATAGGCGGCACTGACTGGCACTGATAGGTGGCAATGAAAGGCAACTCAGATGGGCACTGATATGTGGCATTGATGTGCACTGGTAGACATTGTAATGTGGCATTGATGAGGCACTGATGGGCACTGGCAGGTGGCATTGATGGACACTGACAGGTGGCACTGCTGGGGCTACACTGATCATCAGGGCACACTGATCAATCCTCCCTTTCAGTGGGACTGCCCTTGCAATGCAAGAGATAATGCTAATTTAGATCTAGGGAACTGAAAAAAGCCATTTTTCTTACCTGACACCCACCTCCCCAGCAGCTGGCACTCCCCTGCACTGCATGGTGGACTGTCCCTTGCCATTCTCACAACCACTTCAAGGCTATGGGGTCTGCATTGTACTTGATGGCATCAGATGACTTGTAACTGCTGGAGCGTAGGGAAGAACAGTCTGTAAGGACCTGTCTAGCAGTGTGGAGGGAGCAGGTGGCTAATCTGGTGTGCTGGGCAGCAAAGTGGCTAAATGGTTAGTACTTCCACCTGGCAGTACTAGGGTCACTGGTTCAAATCTCCACCATGGCACCACCTGCCTGGAGTTTGCATGTTCTCTCTGTGCCTGCGTGGGTTTCCTCCCACACTCCAAAGACATGCTGGTAGCTTAACTGGCTCCTGTCTAAATTGGCCCTAGTATGTGTATGTATGAATGTGAGTTAGGGACCTTAGATTGTACGCTCCTTGAGGGTTAGGGACTGATGTGAATGTACAATATCTGTATGTAAATTGACTGCGCTATAGAAATACCTGAAAAATAAATAAAAAATCTGGTAAATAAACTACTTTTCTGGGTCCCCTAGAACAAATTAAGCATTTAAAGATGAATTCTAGGTATGGATTTTTTTTACATAGCTTGGACCAATGTAACAATGTATATACCCTACCTGGCTGATCCCCGTGGAAGCTGGAAATCACTGTAGGAGGTACTGCTAATACAGTTACTTCCACTAGCTTTTGGGTCCCATGCCGAGTGGCTGTTCTGCTGCTTACAGAACACAGGAGATTTCCCACTAGACACAGACACCATTCAGTGAATGCTTTGAATTTTTGCAATGAATGCAAAGCGTTCTCTGATTGGATGAGGTGGAGCAGTGGCATCCTAATCTCCACCTCATCCAATCAGAGAACGCTTTGCATTCACTCCTTATACTTTTCAAGGACTGTGGTAATTTACTCTGAGTTTCTGGTTCTGTCCATCTCCAGCATCCATTGTGAAAAGACCTTGGATCCATGTCACAAAGAATTGGTCTCTGAGAATCGCTCTCTTGCTAGCTGGATCAGTGAGATATTGCTCCCTTGCTAGTAAAGGAGATTCAGCAGCATTTAGGGACAGCAAGGGAACAATTCTAAATAGGCAAGTGGAATGTTCTCTTGTGTGATTGGCTATTCACATGTGTTATTATATTTTGCATGCTAGTCCCAAGCCAAGAGTTGAGGGAAGACCTGGTGACCTACCTTAGCAAAACAAATGCTACAAATCTACAGAAAAAAGGCTTTCCAGTATATCGGACATGGTGCCAGAGAGAAGGTCCATAAAATGGATAAGGCAGGGACTGGGGAGAAAGACCTTTTTGTTTTAGCCACCATTAAAATATGAAAATGATACTGTTTTACTATTGTTATTATTTGCTTGGTTAACCACTTCCTTACCGAGCCAATTCTGACACTTCTCTGTAGATTTAAACTGACCACAGAAGATCTAAGCATGCTGTGTGTCTTTGAACAGGATGACGGAGTGCGTATATTGACCATGCTAGCATGGATCAGGTAGTAAGGTGTGGTCACCTTACTACCAGGAA